TGTGTATTGCGTGAGTAAGTGAGTTTGATTATAGTATATAACTAACGGGAAAAATGTCGTTTTATCTCCCAACTTTCAAAAAGTGGCCAATCAATACGTCAAGATCGAAAAGTGGCCAATCAAAAAATGTCGTAATTAATGTTAGATTTTTAAAATAAAAATAAATAATTAAAAATTGTGGTGCTCACACCTCATAAAAAACATAGAATCAAGATCGAATTTAAATTGTTTTTTTTGAAAAAGATATTGTAAAAATTATTTGGAAAAATGATTTTAAAATAAAGAAATACCAATAAATGTTAATAACATTGCATGTAAATAAGTTCCAAGCTATTTTTTTTTGTCATATGTACATTCAAAATAATAATATGATAGACTAAACCAAACTCGACTTCCTTTTATTTTGGCTTAGGCTTGTAATAGGCTTGACTTTCTACTAGTTTGTACTGGCTCCATTCGCCCTGGGACTACAGATGAAACCGTACAAACCGGACCGAACAAACCGAGATGTTCGGTTCTCGGAGATTGCAATCTGAGGAGGGCCAAACCGTTCGACACTTTTTGTTTTGGAAATCGAATGTCGGTTCGGGTCGGTTTGGTACTCGGGTTCCGATCGGGTTAACCTAAACCGAGAATTAGCATCACTTAATATATATAAAGAACATTTCTCACACTTTCTTATAGGGTTTGTCGTTTCAACAGAGGCTGCGATATACCAAAGTGCGAACCCAAAAAAACTCCATCCGTGAATCTCTTCTTCTTCGATTTTAGCTCAGCTTATCTCTGTATTAGAAAGTCCCACATTGCTTGGGATTAAGATCTTTGGGTAGTATATAAAGGATGTGGCAATCTTTAACTCTTGAGCTAGCTTTTGGGTTAAGTTAGGCCACATTCCTAATATGGTATTAGAGCCCAAGGTTGGCCCAACAAGCAAATTCTCACACAAATGGTTTCCCACCTATGTGGCCCATATAAGTGGCATGTCTTGTTGTATTTCCGAGATGTTGGGCTTGGGCTGTTTCCCGTTGGACCGTTTCCCACCACTACAAGAAATATCTACATTATTAGCTAGAGAAAAGAGCTATTATATGTCATTAATAGCGTTTTCATAAACGCTGTCTTATGCCCCTGTTATGGTAGACCCCCCACATACGATAGCGTTTTTTCCGTATGTTATGGTAGAGTATTCTACCATAGCATTAGTTAAACGCTTTGGTATAGCGACTTTATATTTTTTTTTTAATTATGTAATAACTCATTTTTCGTGCTATTATAGGTGCTTTCTACCATAACTTTATTAAAATGCTTTGATTTTTTATAGCGCATTTTTATGCTAGAATACATTATATGAATTTGAAATCCAATTAATAATATGCTACAGAACCAATTTATTAAAAACATGTTTCTTTCCATAGATCATCAAAAGTTACATAGTATAGCATTCAACACCATTTGTTAAAACAAGGTCTTAAACAACATCATAAGTACTGCAATTCAGATGGACTAAACGAAGAATTACATTGGTTTGCTCTTTCTCTCCCTCCAAGAACTTAGGTTGATGTCCACACTTCACTGCCTTCTCCATATTCTCTGCAGTTTGGTTCTTTTCTTTGTCGTTGGCTGTCTTTGTATAAGTAAAGCAAGTGAGTTTTTCAAATGCTTCTACTAGATAATGACTACATATAAATGCGTGAGGAAAGAAGGAAAGATAAGGAACCTGAGATCTCTTTTGCAGCTCCTCCCCGAGTGACATTTCCTTCTCATACTCATCAAACTCCTTCTGCAGCTACATAGAGAAAAACTGATATCAATCCCCATTTGTTCTCTTCATAGAATGAATAACCAAAATCTAAAAAGCAGGGAATGGATAAGCTAGAAAAGGTATTTGGAGCAGCAAAGTGTCTTACCAATGCCTACCACAGCTGAATCTGAGAAAAAAAAGAACACAACTTAACTAGAGACCATGAATTTGAATTATAGCTTATGAAGAACATACTTCACAGAGAACACAAGAATTTTTAGAATCAGAATTTTTTTAAGAATATCTAAGATCCAATGAAAGCTTTTCTTAAGAATATCTGAGATCCAATGAAAGCTTACCTCACCAAAAGATGAATCGAAGCTTTCTATCCAATACCCTCACTAAAGACAAAACAAATATTGAACCATAAAATAATTTATAGATTCATACGGAAAAAAAAAACAGAAACTCATACATGAGATCACTTGTTAGTTGGTTATTCATGACATTGTTTCCACAAACTCCAACCTGCAATCAAACAAAAACACCATCAATATTTTCATAAAACTAATCGTGCCAAGATATAACCGAAGCAATACTAACAAAACCCATATTATCAAACTTACTATTAGAAAACAATTTCAAAACAAATGTGATCTCACCATATATCAAACAAACAGAAGATACTAACCACACATACTCCATTTCTCTAGCATCAAAAGATTAATTCACCTATAAGAAAGGCAAAACAACAACAATTACAAACTGCACAACTGATTATTGTACCTAGTCTCGAGTTTATCAAAAGAAAGCTTCTATGTGTTTTACCATCTTTTACAGCAAGATTGATGACTCTCACTCTTTTTTAATCTTTTGTTCACACTAGAAGGATGTAATAAAACAGTAGCGTCAACAAGCTTCTGTTTTGCCATTTCCACCACAACTTTTGCTGAGATTAAACACAAAACAGGAAAGATAAAGTCATGTGTAAGCTCATGTCAATGGACCATGGTTTATTTATTATCCAACAAAGAGATAAGTCACTGTCTTGTTCTTAGATTTCCAATCAACAACTAACAGTGGATCTCCATGGAAGAGATCAGGAACCACGACATAGAATCCAGCTTCTGCAACCTTGTCAACAAGCTTCCTATCACAGTAAGAACGTAAAACGAAGACAAGTTACAGCAACAATTAACCTAAGCATCGAGCTAGAGAAACTAACACAAATCTGGCAAAAAAAACAAATAAATCTTCTCATAAACCTTCATATCAAATGAGTTCTTTCTCCCTCTCTCTCTCAACCAATTTTTCAACCCTTACCTTCTTCCTAGCCTTAGCCTCTTCCTCTTGATCCATATCTCTATTTCTTTGATCCGGTTCACGATATCGTCCACGACGACCACGCTCACGGTCTCTCTCTCGCTCTTGCTCTCTGTCTCTATCCCTATTGCAGTCTCGATCTCGCCCTCTATCTCTTTCCCAGTTGCAGTCACGTTCTCGTTTCCGATCTCGGTCTCGATCCTTGTCCAGATTGGTGTTGTCTGCATTAGAGGAATCGACCGAGTTCGTGAACCAAGCTGGAGACTGAAGGACAATGAAGGGACGCCAAATGACGCCGGCGATGAGACCTAGGTTTCGATTTGGGGGATTTTTTTTTTTTTTTTTTTTTTTTGTGTATTGTCGTAAAAAGATAGTAAATTTCTTTTGGCTTTGGGCTAAACACTATAATACTTAAAAAAAATTCTACCAAACAAAAAAATAACACTTAAAATTTTTGGATCTGAAGTTTCTGGCGCTTAGGTGAATTTTTCATCTAAGTATTGGCGGAAAAAACAGATTTTCGCTTCTGATTTGGTGATTTTTTTCTTAGCATTGTTTCAGTGCTATTATATAGTAATCAAAAATAAAATTCATCTATCATAACAGTTACGGAAAATGAGCTATCGTCATATGCTATCAATGTAGATATTTCTTGTAGTGCACCCACATCTCGAGGAGGCCTATTAGAAAGTCCCACATTGCTTGGGATTAAGATCTTTGGGTAGTATATAAAGGATGTGGCAATCCTTAACTCTTGAGCTAGCTTTTGGGTTAAGTTAGGCCACATTCCTAATACTCTGTAATCGATTAATCTTCATCAATTCTCATCCTCGACAGCTTCTTCTCGTCTATTACTTATTGATGGTTCTGTACCCTCTTCCTCATGTAATAGCTAGCTTAAACTTGATGATTTGCTAGCTAAAGCATGATGATATGCTAGCTTATTATCTTCTAGGTCTGTAATGTTTGCTAGATGTAAAACTCCATGAAAAACTAGCTTATCCCTATAATGTATTGTCGGCTTTGTCTGAGGTTTTGTTGTTTTTGTACTTTGTTTCTATTTTTTGCAGGTTAATTCGGTTTAATTAAACCGAAATTTACAGGTTTCAATGTTTTCAGTTTAAATAATCCGAATTCTACAGGTTTTCAATTGATTTCGGTTTAAATAAACCGATTTCTCCATGATTTCAATTTTAATCGGAAATCATAAAATTCCTGATAACCGACCCGGTTAACCCGTGTACCGTTTGAACCGAACCGAATTTCATTTCGGTTTAAAGCGGCTAGATTTTTTAGAAACCGAATTTTAGCTATTCCGAATAACACGACCCGTTGAATTTTCCGTAATCCCAGGGCGAGGCTCCATAATATATAAAGAAACGCTATTGTGACAAAAGAAAAAAAGATTAAGGGGCCGATTGGTGACAACTGTTACTTTTGGCTGTTGAGACTTTGTTTTTAAAAATTTTGGCTGTAGAGAATTTGGCTGTCGAGACTTTATCTGTAGAGACTTTGACTGTTAAAACTTATAAAATTCTGATTGGTAATAAAAAGCTGTAAAAGATAAATTTTAATATTGATATAATTGATGATGGTTTTCGAAAAATAGTAAATCTCACCGAAAATTATGAAAAACGGATCTTAAAAGAATCAGAAAAAATAATGATTATTTGTTAATATAATACTCCCTCCGTATTTTAATAATTGTCGTTTTAGAATTTTTATATTTTTGAATTAGATGTCGTTTTCAAATTTCTATGCAAAATTTATTACTTTTTAATGTTTTATAACGTTATAAAACATTAAAAAGTAATAAATTTTGCATAGAAATTTGAAAACGACATCTAATTCAAAAATATAAAAATTCTAAAACGACACTTATTAAATCGCTTTCAGTGTCTAGGGTTCCGAGGTAGTATTTGGGGATCCAAGAGTTGCGCCGAGGAGTGAGGATTTTGTTTTTCGAAATGGATTCTGCAGAGGAAGAAGGTGCTAGGGCTGAAGAAGAGATCGGACGCGCTGGTTTGTGTAGGCAGCGGAGAGCTTCTACGAAGATGGGGATTTACGTTGACACTCTGACTGACGACGACGAAGATGAGAGACCCAAGCGAAAAGGCAAAAAGGGGGTATATATGGCTCGGAAAAAGACTACCAAGGAAGACGAAGAGAAGCAAAATAACGAAATCGATCAAAATGTTACGGTTGAAGAAGCGAACGGAGCCACTTCTAAGACGAGGGTTAACACAGACTCAATTACTGAGCAAGTCGAAGATTCTGGAAGCAAGCTTTCCATTGCGGAAAAGACTCGGATACGGACCAACCAAGTCGAGCAACAAGCGTAGAAAAACAGTTAACAAAGACAATAAACACCGCCAGGTTAATGAAATCTCTCTAAAATGTCTCCTTTGCTCATCAATCGTAGCTTACACCCCAATTTTTATATATATTTTTGGGGATAATTAGGATAATGCTGAAAATTTCGAGTCCAATATGTGTCATCAATGTCAACGGAACGATAGAGGGCAAGTTGTGCGGTGTCAGAATTGCAAGAAAAAGAGATTTTGCCTCCCATGCTTAAGAACTTGGTACGCTCTTCTTACCATAACATTTAGAAATTATTTTGGTTTCTTGTTACTGATTTCATTATATGGTTGTTACAAATGGATCTTTTATAGTTTCTTGGGAGTTTTTAATTTTTAAAAACTTCGTATTCTTTTGGAATGAATGAAGACAAAGGTTTAGCTTTTGAAAATCAATTCCTGTTGATTCATGTATAATTTCATTCATTTACAAACCGAACACCCACTTCCTTTACTGTAGTCTTGTGTTCGGTTCAATTATTTTTCCAGAAGCCTGAAACACTTGTCTAACCACTACTTGCAGGTACCCCAACATAGCAAAAGAAGATATAGCCAAGAAATGCCCATGCTGCTGTAGCATTTGCTGTTGCAGAAGATGCTTGCGTCTAGATACTAAAATAAAAGTAAGTTTTCTCATATCTATCATATCTTGCTTGATTATTTATTTTTATATTTTTAAAATTATTTAAGCTTTTTAGTATAATGATTACTCGAATGCCATGTAGGGGATAAAGTCGAATCTCGAGGTCAGCAAGGATGCAAAAATTCAATTCTCTAAATATACTTTGCGGTGGCTTCTCCCACATATGAAGGAAATAAATGATGAACAAATTGCTGAGAAGGAACTTGAGGCAAAGATATCTGGTACTTTCCATGTTTTTAGTTATGCTGGAAAGTAATGACTGTTTTTGTACTCCCTTCACATTTTTTGCATTTTCATGTTTTAAGTACGTATATTTGTTATATTGTGGGATATACCTGCATTTATTCCAGACAAAACTTAAAGTGAGTGGATTCATTTTTCTAAGTTGGAAACTGGAAGCTGATTAGCTCAAGTATTAAGAAGGTATCTTAATATTGTTTTATTTCACAGGACTGGAGTTTGAAGAGGTGAAGCCCCAAGACGCTGAATCTCCCCCCGATGAAAGACTAACTTGGTATATTACCTTGGTATTCTTGTTTCAATAAGTATGACAAGTTCTTATGTCATGATGCTGTTAGTAACTTGCTTCTTTGTTGTTTTAACTCTTTGGGCTTACAGTGATATCTGCAAGACTTCGATCTTTGATCTTCATAGGAGTTGCGAGGACTGTTCTTGTGATATCTGCCTTACTTGTTGCCTTGAGATCCGCAATGGAAAGCCTCAGGCATGTAAGGAGGATGTGTCTTGCAATTATATTAACCGAGGTTTAGAGTATGCACATGGAGGAAAAGGACAAGTTATTGAAATGCCGAGTGATGAACCGAATGATAGCAAAGACCATATGAAGGACCCATCTATGTGGAAAGCAAATGAAGCTGGAATCATTACTTGTTATTGTGGTGCCGAGAATTTAGTGTTGAAACGCCTACTTCCGGATGGTTGGGTATCTGATTTGTATAAGCAAGTAGAAAAATCTGCTGAAGCTGGCAAACTTTTGGATTTGTCTGAAACGGTTTCGGAACGATGCCCTTGTTTTAAGTCTGACGGTCATATCGACATGGACAACGGTAAAGTGTTCAAGGCTGCTTGTCGAGAAGGTTCAGAGGACAATTATATATATTGTCCAAGTGTTAGAGATGTTCAACAAGATGATCTGAAGCATTTTCAACATCATTGGGTCAAAGGTGAGCCTGTGGTTATGAGGAATGTGCTTGAGGCTACATCTGGGTTAAGCTGGGAACCAATGGTAACATATCGTGCCTGCCGTCTGATACGCAACAAAAAGCATGAAACACTTCTAGATGTTAATTCTACTGATTGTCTGGACTTCTGTGAGGTTAGTTTTTCCGCGATGAATATGTTCTTGGCTCATATCTTTTCGTATATAAAACACAAGTACTTGCATGGCAATCATTTGTTTTCTGGTATAGTTAATATCAATTGTTTTACGTTCATGTTACCCATATAACCTGGGATGATGCTTCAGTTTCTAACTAAAAGTGTGCAATTAGTTGCCAGTCAAATTTATTTAAGACTTTAATAGTTGGAAATAAACTGCTGAAAAGCTCAATAAGCAGCAATATGCCCTTCTTTATCTAATGATTTTTTAATGGATGCAGGTAGAAATTACTCTTCATGAATTTTTCACCGGATACATAGAGGGCAGATATGATCGAATGGGTTGGCCACGTGTTCTAAAATTGAAAGATTGGCCTCCATCTAAGTTCTTCGAAGAAAATTTGCCACGTCATTCGGAGGAGTTCTTATGCAGTTTGCCTTTGAAGCAGTACACTCACCCAACTAATGGACCTTTGAATCTGGCTGTCAAACTGCCTAAAAATTGCTTGAAGCCAGACATGGGGCCAAAGACGTATATTGCTTATGGATTTGCGCAAGAATTTGGCCGTGGAGATTCTGTTACTAAGCTCCATTGCGACATGTCTGATGCGGTTAGTACCCTTATGTTATGTCTTTTCTCGTGTTCATTTTCATTTCTTTGTTATACTTATGTCGCTTCTTCTGATAGTTTCCCTTGGTATACCCCCCATAATGATTTCACATTTCAGCACATAGTAAAACAACAGGATCAGATTTTATTTCGTAATAGAATCATACCTACATCAGTCCATTTTGATTTTTTTTAATTACATTTAGGATTAGTTTTCTCTTCTTCATTTGTGTGGCAGTTTTTTCTTTTTTTGGACAAATCAATAATTTCATTAGAACTTAAAAGGATTCTTTTTTTAAACGTGAAAACTTTAAAAAATATTTTGAATAGTAAAAAATTAACAAAATCACAATTTCTAATGTAAACAAATGGTATACCATTTATCCTTAATATATATACAAAAAGAATTACTAGCTTTTTACTTCTTTTTTTTTTCCTTTGTCCGCTTGTCCAAGCCAATATATTGTCAGTTGCAGTCGCCAACTATTGTTGTTGTCTATCGTAAAACTGATGACAACCAATAAAAAAAGTTTACCATATGTCGTTCATTGTTCTTTTCTGAACTTAACTTCCTGCCATCTGTTATCGGTAGTCGTTGCCGGTAAAATAAAAGGACCAACATCAATCTTGCAGTATTTGTTATAATTTACTCAAATTCTCAATTTGTTAGGATGCAATAAATGTTAAGAATCTTTAAGATAATGCCACATTGAAAGTTTGCTCCCTTCCTATTGGTAAACATGCTTTCATATAAAACTGTTTATACTCATCAGAAGAGTTTGGATGGCTGAATCTTCTTGCTCTTTTTGGTGGGACTTTCCTTGTTTCCGATCAGCGGAGTTACCAAACCTTTCTTTTATAAATCGTACTAAGTTCCTAATAAAAGGTCCACTGACATTATATTTTATACAGTATTAATTTCTCTCTATTATCTAAATTTGTTTAATATCTTTATTGCTGTGTTGGTTATTTCAGGTAAATGTTTTGACGCACATATCTGAAGTGCCCATTAGAAGGGAAAATCAACCTGATATTGAAAAACTGAAAAAGAAGCATGCTGAACAAGATCTCAAGGAGCTGTATTCCTCAGTAGCTAACAAGGAGGAAATGATGGAGATTCTTGAAAAGTCTAGCCAAGAAGTCGAAAATGTTGAGACCGATGATGGAGCTCTTTGGGACATTTTCCGTAGAGAAGACATTCCAAAATTAGAACATTACCTTCAGAAACATTACAAGGAGTTTAGACATTTCTACTGTTGCCCTTTGTCCCAGGTACACCAACTTTGCCTACTTTACCATTTTTCTTCTTTTTCATTGAACATATGTACTTATGTAGTGTCTATTTGTGTCCACTCTCTCTACAATTTTGTGCTGGTTTTTGTCTTATCTTATATGTTCATCCATCTTCGTATTTTCAGATTGCTCATCCAATACATGACCAAACGTTCTATTTGACACGGTATCATATAGCGAAGCTGAAAGAAGAATATGGTATGGCGGATTTTACTAATAACCAATCACATTTTCGTGCTTTCCACATTATATTGACAGTTTTGGTCATATCTATGAGGCTGTATTGTGCAGGCATTGAACCATGGACCTTTAATCAGAAGCTTGGGGATGCTGTCTTAATACATGTAGGGTGCCCACATCAAGTCAGAAATTTGAAGGTAAATATCTATTCTTTTAGCTTAGGATACCGTGGATTTGAGCAAATTGGGCTTTTAATATCTCAGTACAAGGTTCATCGATTGATCATTACAGTTCTCTTGGTTCTTGCAGTCTTGCACAAAGGTAGCGCTTGACTTTGTCTCACCTGAAAATGTCAGCGAGTGTTTACGCTTGACAAAACAATATCGTCTACTTCCACCAAATCATTTTGCTAAAGAAGACAAGTTAGGGGTATATCTGTTGTCTCAATTTCTGGTTCTTTTGCGCAAAGTTTTCAACTCCACTCTAATTGTTTTTTTTTTTGCTGGATTCCTGTGTGTGCTTGAACAGGTAAAGAAGATGATAATTTATGCAGTTGATAGGGCTCTCAAAGACTTAAGTGGAAAGGAGTGAGTTTTAACTTCTCTTCTCACTACCTATAGCAATCATCAGTAAAATGAGTTTCTTTTATGTTGAAGCTTGAGTTATTTTTTTGTGTTGGTTTAGGTCTACAGAACCCGAAGAGAAGAAAAATTTAAAGAAAGGGAAGAAGTCAAAGGTGATAGTGAAGGCCGTCGATAAGGCTCTCAAAGACTTACCTCCAAGTGAAAAGTGAGTTTTTCACTTCTCTTCTCACTACCTTAAAAAAAAATTCAGTAAACTGAGTTTGTTTTTGTCTAAGCTGAGTTTTTTCTTTTGTGTTGGTCAGGTCTTCGGAAACCGTAGAGGAGAAATCAAACGGGATAGTCAATCCAATCGATAAGGCTCTCCAAGACTTACCCCCAACTGAAAAGAAGTGTTACCCCCAACTGAAAAGAAGTGAGCTTTTACTTATCTTCTCACTACCTACAAAAAGCATTAGTAATCTGAGTTTCTTTTCGTCTATAAGCTGAGTTTCTTTTTGCTGTTGGTTCAGGTCTCCGGAAGGGGAAGGGGAGAAAAAAGCAGAGATAGTGAAGACATACGAGCGTAGAAAAAAGCAATGAAGTGAAGAAATCAACTCATAGACATTGGCAACGGAGAAGATAATAAGAGTAGTTTTTTTTGTTGCATCTCAGTTTCTCATCATCTTTTGTTGTAGCTTTTAGCAAACTCTTTTGCTAATTTCCTTTACGGAATCAGTAAGTTAAACGGAGCACATTTGGCATACTGTATGTAGTCCTAAGTTATATCTTTCGTGTATTTTATATTCCCTCCTCAATCACCTCAACTGGATTCTGTGAAGTTAATTAAAGTTTGAAGAAGTACAGTGACCTTAATTTCTCGAGATAATTGCTGAGGTAACCAAAACAATAACTGACTTGAAGTTTTTGAAAGAAACAAGTTAAACAATTCTAATTGAAACTGGATTTAGTAGAGAAGATATTCTAACAAGAAAATGAATTATTTTTGTGGAAGCCTTTCAAACTAGACTGACAGTTATTGTTTTAATTACCTCAGCAGGTCAGGTTATTGACATGGAATTTCATCAAACTAAAGCTCAAAACAAAGACTTTGTTAAAACCTCTTCAAGTTGTCAATTTACCGTCTGGTGAGAAGACTTCAATCTTCTATGATTATGAAAGGATTCAAAAGCGATGTTATTTCTGTCAGAGGCTCACCCATGAACGAGATCACTGCCCATGGTATCTTCAACAGTAACAGTCCTTAAAAGAAGCTGAGAAAGAAACTCTCCCAGATAAGTCTGCTCCTTTGAAAACCAAAACTTCTGATCGTGTTAGGATTGATTCTTTGGCTCTAGAAGAACTTCGTCAATTTTTTGCTGACTCCACTGTCTCTTATCGCTTTACCAAAGATTCTCAATCTAAAGCTTCGATAGGTTGTTTGGCACTGACTTCTCTTCATGCTCCTATTCCAGGAAATATTTCTCAATCCATACCATCAATATCTCCTGAAATTGACAAAGGCAAAGGAATTATAGTGAATTTTGGAGCTTCTACTGACACCAATATCACCAAGCCTACAGCTAAAGCCTTCTTCAGGGTTTCTCTTTGATAAATCTACTTTCTCTGAAGCTACTACTTCTAAACCTGCTACAAGCAAGGCTTATTTTCGAAAAAAGACCTACAAACCAAGGAAGAAACTTCAAGGTACACCTATTTCCTCTTCTTTGAAAAAGGTTGAACAGGATAAAGGTCTTCAGAAAGTTGTAGTGCATAAGAGAAAAGGTCTTCCACTGAGGTTTACAGAGGCAATTTCAGATTTGATAAAAGGTTTTTAAATAAACATCTTGTGAAAGAAACTATATCTACTGCTTGGTCAAATACCTATCCGTCCTATTTATCTTCAGTTTCTGACAAGCTTAGATACTGCAGGAGAGCCCTCGGCAAATGGAAAAGAAAAAACTGTTTAAACTCTCAGGACAAGCTCTCTCAGCTTCAGATCGCTTTGGAACAAGAGCAGTCTTCAGTTCTTCCTTCAACAATTCAAATGAATAACCTCAAGAATCAGTTAACTCAAGCTTATAGAGAGGAAGAATCATATTGGAGTAAAAAAAGTAGAGAAAAATGGATGCAAGAAGGATCTCATAATACGAAGTTTTTCCATGCTTCTGTCTAAGCCAACAGAACACAAAAGAGAATAGACATTTTGAAAGATTGCAATGGCAATAATAAAAAATCAGAAGCTTCTAAAGGTGAAATTGCCACAGCTTACTTTATAGACTTATTTAAAACCTCTTCTCCTGGAAATTTCGACTGGCTTTTTCATGATTTTGAACCTAAAGTTTCTCCAAGTATGAATGAGTCTCTGATAAGTCCAGTTTCTTCTGAAGAGATTAAACAGGCTGTCTTCTCGATAAACCCTTCTAGTGCACCCTGCTCTGATGGCATGACAGGTCTTTTCTTTCAGAAATATTGGGAGATCATAGGTCTTCAAGTTACCATGGAAATTCAGAAATTTGTTTCCACAGGCTCCTTTCCTTCACTCAGCTGTGTCTTCTTCCAAAGGTATTACACCCAAATCAGATGTCTGATCTCAGACCTATTAGTCTATGTTTTGTATTATACAAGATTATCTCCAAAATCTTGACATCAAGACTGCAACCGTTACTTCCTTCAGTGGTTTCTCCTACTCAAACAGCCTTTGTTTCAGAAAGACTGATTTCTGACAATATTTCTATTGCTCATGAGATGATTCATGCTAAGGACTCACTCTACTATCTCCTCTGAATACATGGCCATTAAAACTGATATGTCAAAAGCTTTTGATCGGTTAGAATGGAGCTATCTCAAAAGGCTTTTAATGGCAATTGGCTTTCACAAAAAATGGATTGATTGTGTCATGGTTTGTGTTTCTACGGTGGCTTACTCAGTTTTAATCAATGACCAACCTTATGGCATGATAGTACCACAGAGAGGTTTGAGACAAGGTGACCCTATCTCTCCTTTTCTTTTTTGTTCTTTGTACTGAAGGACTCACTCATATGTTGAACAGAGCTGAAAGAGAAAGGATCTATACAAGGAATTCAATTTTCACCAACAGGTCCAGACATTCATCACCTGTTGTTTGCTGATGACAGTTTATTCAGGTGTAAGGCTTCTTTTGAACAAGCACATAAGCTTCAGCAAATTCTTGACTACTATGGAACAATTACAGGGCAGCGAATTAATCTCTCAAATTCTTCCATAACCTTTGGCTCCAAAGTTGATCCTCAGATACAAAAAAACAATCAAATCTCTGACAGGCATTCACAATGAAGGTGGAACAGGTACATATCTTGGACTCCCAAAATGCTTTAGTGGTTCTAAAGTTCAAATGTTATGGCCCTGGTTGGTTTGAGCGTACATTATCACTTGGATGAAAGGAAATTCTTCTTAAAGCAATTGCTATGGCCCTCCCAGTCTATGCCATGTCATGTTTTAAACTGCCAAAAACTACATGAAAAGATTACTTCAGCTATGTCAAGTTTTTGGTGGAATTCAATGGAGAATAAAAAGAAGATCCATTGGTTAAGCTGGGATAAGTTATGTTTGGCAAAGGAGAATGGAGGTTTAGGATTCAGAGATTTAGAAGCATTTAATCAAGCTTTATTGGCCAAACAGGTTTGGAGAATTCTTCAAAACCCTGACTGTCTTTTTGCCGAGTTATGAAAAGCAAATACTTCAAATCTAGCAAACCGATAACACCTACCACCAGTTTTGCATCACTTAGCTCCAGCTTAGCAAGGCGTCCTCGCATAAACAAATCTGTTGCGGATGGTACTTTACCAAGACCTGTCAACGAAGAGCTAGGTAGCATATCCATCGAGTTTAACCTCGCAGGGTAAACAGTCTTCTGGAGATCTGATTCCTACAAATATCAAACCCTCTCATTTAAGAAACTAGAAAACATGCCAAACTGATAAGTCTCTAAAGTCAAATAATCTGACTGATAATTTGAAGAAGGGTAATAAGCAATTAGGACCAACTCCTCAAAATCGCACTCTCTACACTAATCAAATAAGGCAGCTGGATGTGAAGGTTTTGAAACGAGCAAAAAAATACTGCAGTAGACATGCAAAAAGACAAGTGAAAGGCGAGTTACAAGCATGGGCTCAAATAACACATCTTTCTTAAAGAAATCTTATCAATTCAAATTACATGTACACAAGATAGCTGAGAACTCTGAAGAACTTTATTCTCCACTACACACCTGGATCATGTGAAGAATGAGCAGACAACTATTAACATCATCAAGGATGCCGATGTACATAGCAATATGCTTACCCCAAAACATCTTGATGTACATCATTAGCATTGTATCTTGTATATCCAAGGCCAGTGTAGTCTCAGACGTAAAAACCGAAAAAAATGACTAATGACTTTGTCTCCGTCTAGCAAATCACCATCAATATATGCAGATTCTTCACAAATTATATCATATATACATCTGATTATAGTTTTGTTCTTAAGGTTAACTTAAAACAAAGGAAAAATATTCTATACTAACATCAAGGTATCAAACCATTTATGAGCCAAGATAAAAAATTATGTTCCACCAAAATTATAACCAGAAACCTTTGACAGTGACTTGTATGTGGTCATGCAGAGAAAACCAAATCATTGTGGTTTTCATTTGATGCAGTTAATATATTTCAGCAGCCATCATATAAAAGCTTAAAGAGTGTGAGAATGACTTTTGTACCTTGAAATCGATGGAGAAAGAGAAAGAATTGGGATATGGTACAGGAGTTAATCGAATGGGCTAAGGATTTCGGATTGAAAGCACAAAATGTCAAAGATTTTGGTGGAGAGAATTGAGAGAGATCGATGTGTGTGTGTGTGTGTTGTGAAAGAGAAAGGAGTCGTGAAAGTGGAGAGGGGAAGAAATCGATTTGGGGAAGGAGGATGAAGAAGAGAAAACCGGCAAAATCGATTTGTAATTACACTGGTTCACTTGATTTAAACCGGAGCAGACCGGTCAAAGAGAAGAGGTTGACTTATACCTGGGTGGAGACTTCGCCGATGCACGAGCCATAGTTATGATACGGCTTGTCTTTGGCCGATGGAGAAGACCGCTAGTCTCTCGGGAATTTTCTGCAAAACCAGCCTACGGTCAACACTTGCCCGATGGAGAGCAGAAGCAGTCGGGCTCGAGAACCAACACTTGTCTTTATTGTCGTCTATTAAGAAACCGGACTGGTTTACTAAGAACCGGTGGTCTAAAACCTTTTTCTCGCAAGTCATATATAACCTCTAATCCTCATTCTTCTTCAGCGTTTCTCGACTCTGAACCGAGGCTGCGATAGCAAAGGTGAGACCCAAAAAAAACTGTCTCCATCCGTGAATCTCTTTCTTCTTTGATTTAATCTCATCTTCTCTCTGTAATCGTTTAATCTTCTTCAATCTTCTTCCTCGACAGCTTGTTCTCGTCTATTGTGGTTGAGAAAGAACACCGTTTTCTCTGACATTCAACCTGTAACCTTGAGAAGTCTTCAAGGTAAGCTGTTCTTCCTTATTCCTTGGATTAAATAACTTTTAAGCTATGATTTCGTCTCAAATCAGTAGTAAATGTCTTCTGATTGCGAATTTGGAACCCTAACCCTAAACGATTTGAATAATTTTAGGGTTAGGTTTCCAAATTCAAAATCAGAGTTTATTTGTTGTTCTTCTGAGCTTGTTTATGGCCATAGTGTTGTGTGTGTGTGTTTCGATTTGGGTCAGTTTAGGCCGACTTGGAACATTTTGGGGATTTGGTTCGATTTTCAAATCATGCTTTATATGTTGTTCTTCTGAGCTTGGATTCATGTATCTAGTGTTGTGTCTGCGTTTAGATTTGGGTTAGTTTAGGGTTTGATTTGGGTCCGTTTACTAGTTTATGGTTAGGGTTTAATATGAAACTTCAAATGTTTAGACTTATTGGATCGTCTCTTGTGGTTTTGTACTCTGATTATCTCCCTTATGTTCTTGTATGGTGTTTTCTACTAAAGCTAATGCGATTTTCAGATTTTGGTCAGTTTAGTTAGAGAGTCTAATGTTAAACTTCTAAGGTTAAGACTTAAAACTTTTGTGATAGTCATCCGCCAAGAAAGCTGAATCGAGAAAGATGGATGAAGATTTCGAGATGACGACATGGATTTCGGTGACGCCGCCTCGTTTCTCAAAGTCGGTGAAGAGAAAGAGATCCCAGGTTTGAAGAAGAAGCTTGTTAAAGAAGGTGAAGGATATGAGACTCCTGAGAATGGCGATGAAGTTGAAGGTATCTATCGATTCGATTTCGGCGATGCTCCTATTTTATTATTCGATTTTGCTTTTTTTTTTGAAAACGAAGCTGATACTTGATCTGTTTCTACAGTGCATTACACTGTGACTCTGCATGATGGGACGAAGTTTCATTGTACCCGTGATAGAGGTTCCTCTTTCAAATTCACTATTGGACAAGGTGTGTGAATCTGATCTCTTGATACGATTTGTTTCAGCTTAATTTAACAGTTTCTGCGATCAGTGTTAGTGTGTTAGTTTGTGATTATAGTGATTATAGTGTAATCTAGAGTATTCGAGGAGACTAATTTTGTAGAAGAGATGCAGTTTTTGTTAAGTTCCGAATTTGAATTTTCGAGTACTAATGCTCTTTGTGGACATATTGATAATGGTCTTAATTCTTGTTTTTGTTCTGTATCCTGGCATTGTGTTTACAGGTCAGGTTATTAAAGGATGGGAGATTAGTATGAAGACAATGAAGAAAGGTGAAAAAGCTGTATTCACTATCCCGTCAAAGCTAGCTTATGGTGAATCTGGTTCACTGCCAAAAATCCCTCGGAATGCCGCGTTTCAGCTTGATGTGGAGTTGCTTACATGGGTTAGTGTGAAGGACATTTGCAAAGGTGTGACTAAGAAGATTCTTGCTGTCGGAGAGAAGTGGGAAAACCCAAAGGATCTCGATGAAGTTCTTGGTGTGTGTTCACTTTCTTATGCTCTGCTTAAGAGATTGCTGTTGCGTTTGATTTCGCTAATGGTATCTCCTGTGTATTTTATTCAGTTAAGTACGAGGCGAAACTTGAGGATGGCACCGTTATTGGGAAATCTGATGGTGTAGAGTTCAGAGTTAATGATGGTTAGTGCTCTGATTTCTTCTAAGATATGATGGGCATGTTGGATAATATATTTTCTCTCTGACAGTCTCTGTGATATTTTTCATTAATAGGTCATTTCTGCCCTGCACTTGCTAAGGCTGTGAAGACCATGAAAAAGGGTGAAAAAGTCCTTTTGACAGTTAAACCACAATGTAAGACAGTTTGCCTCAGTTGATTTTTCCCTGATCCCGGTATGTTGTGTACATCGTCTCTTATTTCAATTTGCTTATAAATGAGACAGATGGTTTTGGGGAGAAGGGCAAGCCAGCCTCGGTTCCTCCAAGTGCAACGCTTGTGATCAATCTGGAGTTAGTTTCTTGGAAAACAGTTTCAGAAGTAACTGATGATAACAAGGTTATGAAAAAAATTTTGAAGGAAGGGAAAGGATATGAGCGTCCTAAAAAGGGTTCAGTTGTGAAAGGTTTGTATTTCGGATTTTAGTACACTGATGTTTTAACCAGGCATAACTGTTTCTTACGAGGCTTTTATTTGTTTCTTTCTGGCAGTGAAATTGATAGGAACACTTCAAAATGGTACTGTATTCCTGAAGATAGGTCATGGAGAAAGCGAGGGACCCTTTAAGTTCAAAACAGATGAAGGTAACTACACTTTTTAAGTTTCCATTGGATGTGCCGGAATTTTCCTTGGTTTACTTAGTCGTAGTAACTCATTTTCCGTATGCTTAAACAGAGCAAGTGATGCGCTGTCATGAAGATGAAAAAGGGTGAAGTGGCTTTGGTGACCATAGAACCAGAGTATGCCTTTGGTTCTACTGTGTCACGACAGGAATTGGCTGTGGTGCTGCCAAACTCAACCGTTAATTATGAGGTTGACCTTGTGACTTTCGAAAAGGTTAGTGGAGTGTTTTGGATGCTTATGCAATTCACAATTCACTCAATATGGAAGTATAGGTGTCCAACACTTGTTTGCCGCTGGATTTTTAGGAAAGAGAATTGTGGGACATGAACACTGAGGAGAAGATAGAAGCTGCTGGTAAGAAGAAGGAAGAAGGAAATGCCAAGTTTAAAGCAGGCAAATATGCCCTGGCTTCCAAGAGATATGAGAAGGTATATTCTATTAAAGTGCTCGGTGAAATGTGAGTATGTCGAACGTAATCTTACATGGTTTAGTTTGTTCTCAGGCTGTCAAATTCATTGAATATGACACATCCTTCAGTGAGGAAGAGAAGAAGCAAGCAAAAGCATTGAAGGTGGCGTGCAATCTAAAGGATGTAGCCTGCAAACTGAAGTTGAAAGATTACAAGCAGGCTGAAAAACTATGCACAAAGGTAAATAATTGTTGCTTATATCTACGAATCCTATTCTCTAAGTTAAGCCTAGCTGAACAATAATGATGGAGATGGCGCTTTTGGTATTTAGGTCTTAGAGCTAGAAAGCACCAATGTGAAGGCCTTATTCGTCCTCGTCCAAGCCATTCCTGCCATGTCAGTGAGTTTTTCAAATCCTTCCTCGTCTTTCTCGCTGCTCGAAACGAATTAATCAACTTCATTGGATGTGATTGTAGTCTGAAGAGGAACTAGAGCGGGAAGTTCAGCTTTATATCGCTCAGGATTCCAATCAAAAGTTTAATGCTCTTCTGGAAAAATTTTGGTAAATTCTTGCATATCTTAGAATGAAATTTGATTTATTCAGCTGGGAGTTGATTAAATCTCATGTGCCATTTGATTATTGTAATTCTAGGAGCTATCTTATATTGTAGCCTTTCTTTGTCTTTGATACTGAAACATATGTCCATGTTTTGTGTTTTCTCGTTACGACAAATGTTTCAATCTAACCTCATTGTTGCTTTTTTTTTTTCATTTTTTTGGTTACTTAGGAAACGCATTCCAAAATCACCATATGATACAGTTCCAGATACACTAAAGTTTCTCTGTCCCTATCATGCATTCTTTAAAAATACTCTTGAACAGATGGATGACTGGAAGGTAATATTTTATACATTTGAAGTTTCAACGTCTTTTATATTTCTTGGGTTTAACTTAAAAGTTTCTTTTGCTTTGCTTGCAGCATTACTTGTCTAATATAATGTCTGTCTTAGACCTTGGTGAGATGGAGTATTTTGACCAAGTAGATTTCCCAAAGATCGGAGCAAGACCAATTACTGAGTTGAGTCTGAATGAATTGAAGCTGGAGCTTGATAATCGTTCTTTGGGTATTTTGGGAGGAAAGCAAGCTATGCTAATACGTTTAGCTTACTCCATTAGGATGGAAGAAAATGGGTACTTTAAAAAGGTACGAGGCAACCCAATCTTTAATTTAGAAACCACAGACTTACAAAGTCAGCTTAGGTTACGCTTGTTAAGGTCTGGTGGAACTAATAGGGAAGAGTTAGCTATGCGCTTAGCTAAAGCGGTAAATTCAGGTATTAAAATATCTGAAGATGAGAACTCACTTGAGAAATCACTAGATCCCGTCCAGACAGATCATTTGAGAGCTCACTTAAGCGACTCATTCCAAGTAGTATTCCTGGATTTGGAGTTTAAACACCATACGATTCTGGAGGTTGGGATTGTCCTTGTGGACCTCGTGACGTGGAAAATGAAAGAATTTCATGCAATTCTAAGGCAAACAAAGGAGTTTATGAAGTCTTATGTTGGTCGGTCCAGTATCCCTAGAACAAAGCTAGAGGCCGACTCATCACCTAGGTTCAGTGATATATCCCAGACAATTTTTGATTGTCTTCACCACAGGGTTGTCATAGGTCACAACATTAGAAAGTGCGATATACAAGTTCTCAGAGACCGCTTCTATGACTTAGGGTTACTTGTGCCAGAACCTAGATTAGTAATTGATACATATGAGTGGATAAATCAGACAATAACTATTAATTTACGTCGACAAACTCATAGAGCTCTTGAGGATATTAAATTAAATTTCTCCGCAAGAAGTTTGTCGACGTAAATTAAATTTTTCCGCAAGATCCTCTAGTTTTTGGAGTGGATATAAATCTTCTAGATTGTTCTGATTTATCCACTCATATGTATCAATTACTAATCTAGGTTCTGGCACAAGTAACCCTAAGTCATAGAAGCGGTCTCTGAGAACCTGTATATCGCACTTTCTGATGTTGTGACCTATGACAACCCTGTGGTGAACACAATCAAAAATTGTCTGGGATATATCACTGAACCTAGGTGATGAATCGGCATCTAGCTTTGTTCTAGGGATACTGGACCGACCAACATAAGACTTCATAAACTCCTTTGTCTGCCTTAGAATTGCATGAAATTTTGCATGAAATTCTTTCATTTTTCACGTCACGAGGTCCACAAGGACAATCCCAACCTCCAGAATCGTATGGTGTTTAAACTCCAAATCCAGGAAGACTACTTGGAATGAGTCGCTTAAGTGAGCTCTCAAGTGATCTGTCTGGACGGGATCTAGTGATTTCTCAAGTGAGTTCTCATCTTCAGATATTTTAATACCTGAATTTACCGCTTTAGCTAAGCGCATTAGCTAACTCTTCCCTATTAGTTCCACCAGACCTTAACAAGCGTAACCTAAGCTGACTTTGTAAGTCTGTGGTTTCTAAATTAAAGATTGGGTTGCCTCGTACCTTTTTAAAGTACCCATTTTCTTCCATCCTAATGGAGTAAGCTAAACGTATTAGCATAGCTTGCTTTCCTCCCAAAATACCCAAAGAACGATTATCCAGCTTCAATTCATTCAGACTCAACTCAGTAATTGGTCTTGCTCCGATCTTTGGGAAATCTACTTGGTCAAGATACTCCATCTCACCAAGGTCTAAGACAGACATTATATCAGACAAGTAATGCTGCAAGCAAAGCAAAAGAAACTTTTAAGTTAAACCCAAGAAATATAAAAGACGTTGAAACGACTGGTAAGTTAATACAAAAAACGCTTCATTATTTTAAGTATAAAGTAATTTTAAATATAACTTAATATGTTTTGTGGTTAATTGTTTGAAGCGTGAAATGTTTATGGATGGAAGCACTAATACTGAAACCACGAAAAGAAGAAAGGTTGGTAGTAACCATCCTCTTGGGTTTGGAGTTTTTGGTATAGTAATTTGTTTTGGTATTATACTGATTTGTTTTGGTAATGTTCTCTCATGCCTTAGAGCTCAAGATCAATAAGCTCAAGATAAGGATAACCTAGGATCTTTGTTAGTGAAATGGTGCAGGTAGCTTGCATCAGCTTTAGTACTTCAAAGTTCCTCTTTTTGCTGTCTTCATATTACTTTTGGAAGTTTTTATTCTGCTTATATAAATGGTTGACAAGGACTTGGTTTATAATTTTTTTGTGTAGCACAGGTTGAAACAGTGGCTCAATTTGGTGTTGTTTTTCTCCTTTTTGCTTTAGGATTATAATTTTCTGCAGCCGAAGGTTTGCATGTTTCTGCCCTCTTTTTTATGTATCTTCATTCGAAGTGATTAAAACTTCTGAGATAGTTATTGTACTATGTGGTTCGTGCAGTAGCTATTCCAGGAGGTCTTCTTCAGATTTTTTTGTTTATGTGCTTGAGTGGAATAACAGCCTCGGTATGTATAAAAAAAATTGTAGCAATTTAAACACCATATTCGGGTCACCGGTTATCTATGATAAAGAGAAAATGTCGAGATTCGGGGTTTTGTCAAAGCATGATAAACACCATTAAAACTCATTCTCTCTCAAAATCAAACTCAAACAAGCTTGATATTCAAATTCTTGAAATGAAAGCTTAAAGAGTGTGAGAATGACTTTTGTACCTTGAAATCGATGGAGAAAGAGATAGGATTGGGATTTGGTACAGGAGTTAATCGAATGGGCTAAGGATTTCGGATTGAAAGCACAAAATGTCAAAGATTTTGGTGGAGAGAATTGAGAGAGATCGATGTGTGTGTGTGTTGTGAAAGAGAAAGGAGTCGTGAAAATGGAGAGGGGAAGAAATCGATATGGGGAAAGAGGATGAAGAAGAGAAAACCGGCAAAATCGATTTGTAATTACACTGGTTCACTTGATTTAAACCGGAGCAGACCGGTCAAAGAGAAGAGGTTGACTTATACCTGGGTGGAGACTTCGCCGATGCACGAGCCATTGTTATGATACGGCTTGTCTTTGGCCGATGGAGATGACCGCTAGTCTCTCGGGAATTTTCTGCAAAACCAGCCTACGGTCAACACTTGCCCGATGTGATCAAGACCGATGGAGAGCAGAAGCAGTCGGGCTCGAGAACCAACACTTGTCTTTATTGTCTATTAAGAAACCGGACTGGTTTACTAAGAACCGGTGGTCTAAAACCTTTTTCTCGCAAGTCATATATAACACACTTTGCCAAATGAAGCAGAACGAATGAAGTTGGTTACATCACACTTCAATTAAAATTAAGGAATAAACCCACTCGAAATGAAAGTATAATCATTACAAATGTCTAAATTTATGTTACAAAATAATGATGAACCAAAAAAAAACCGCGGTTCCTTCCTCGACTTGATCATTTGCCATGGATGGTTTCAAGCGTTGACCATTCACAACAAAGAACAAACTCACCACCATTCTTGTTCCTCAACACAAAAGCTCCATATGGCCTTACTTCCTTGATCTTAAACGGACCCGACCAACGAGAATTGAGCTTTCCCGGAAAGAATCTCAAACGGGAATTAAACAACAACACTTGATCATCCACCTTGAAATCTCTTGAAATGATCTTCTTGTCATGAAATGCCTTAGTTTTCTCCTTGTAAATCTTCGAATTCTCATAGGCTTCTAGACGAAGCTCATCAAGATCATTCAATTGGATCAATCTCTTCTTCACGGCGGTCTTGATATCAAAATTCAAAAACTTAACCGCCCACATGGCCTTGTACTCAAGCTCAACCGGAAGATGACATGACTTTCCGTAGAGAAGGTTAAATGGAGTAGTACCAATTGGAGTCTTGAAAGCGGTTCTATAAGCCCAGAGTGCGTCGTCTAACTTCGCTGCCCAATCTTTCCTTGTTACACCAACCGTCTTCTCCAATATAGCTTTAATTTCCCGGTTGGAGATCTCGACTTGCCCACTTGTTTGCGGATGGTAAGGCGTGGCGACTTTGTGTTTCACCCCGTGCTTCTTAATTAAGTAAGCTCTCAAAGATCTTATTGATGAAATGAGTTCCGCCATCACTAATCACAACTCTCGGGATCCCAAAGCGCGGGAATATTATGCTCTTAAACATCTTCAAGACCACTTTAGCATCGTTAGTCGGACTTGCAATCGCTTCCACCCACTTCGATACATAGTCAACCGCCACAAGGATGTAACTATTGCCGTAGGACGACGGAAATAGTCCCATGAAGTCTATTCCCCAAACATCGAATACTTCGACCTCTAAAATAGGGTTTTGTGGCATCTCTTTCCTCCTACTAATGTTCCCTTTCCTTTGACAAGAGTCACACCTTGAGATGAAATCATGCGCGTCTTTGAACATCGTAGGCCACCAAAACCCGGCTTGAAGCACCTTGGTAACCGTCTTAAAGGTGGCGAAATGACCTCCATAAGCCGACCCATGGCAATGCATGCATCAAAATGCCTTCAAACTCTTCTTCCCTGATGCATCTCCGATAGACCTTATCCTTACAAAGTGTGTAAAGATATGGTTCATCCCAATAGAAACGATTCACAACCTTGAAGAACTTCTTCTTGTTATAGCCTTCCAAATTCGGCGGTTCCTTTCCACAAGCCAAAAAGTTCACTAAGTCCGCGTACCAAAGCTCTTTATCCTTCAAAACCTTTACTTCCTAAAGCTTTTTGTAAGTCTCATGACTTGCATCTAGGAGTTGGAGAGCCATCAATTGTTCCTCGGGAAGAGAATATAATCATCAATAGGAATATTGTTTTCAATCCTCAACCGAGAAAGATGATCCGCTACACCATTCTCTACTCCTTTCTTGTCTTTAATCTCCAAATCAAACTCTTGAAGCAATAGAATCCATCTCAATTAAGTCTTGGTTTGGCATCCTGCTTAGCCAAGAGATGTCGCAAAGCCGCAAGATCCGTGTGAACTACTACCTTAGAGCCAACCAAATAGGACCTAAGAGGCCAAAATAAAGCCAACACAACGGAAACAAATTCCTCCTATGACCAACTGAGACTATCCCACAAATCAAATGTTAGAATTAGTATTTTGCAATGAGTAAGAATTCTAACTAAATCCAAAAATATTAATTCAAACATCACTAGTTCTTTTGGAATACTCGTTCATTCTTTATTCATTTTCTTTCTTTGAAGCATCTTCTTATAGAATCTGTCTTATATATCTTTCTCGTACGTTCTTAGCTCTTATAATCCATATTAGACCATGATAAATTTTCTACACATTTTTAAATTTATCAACTATGTTTATTTTTCCGATTTTGCTTTTTCATCCAATTGTTTTGTCAAGTTTATGACTTATAATGTTGGAAAATCACACTTTCATGTCATCTCATGATTTTCTAAGTGTAATCATGCATGGTACATGTTAAAGCTCGCTTTCCAGAGATTGAACCCGACCCTTCAAATCAGTTCTCCATCAATAGACATACGTCTCTTATATCATCAAATACCAAAAAAACTATCTGAAATAAGGAATAAAAATAAGGGAAAATTAGAAATAAAGGAGCTCTAAAAAAAAGTTTGACCATATACACTTTTTTTTTCTGAAAATGTCACTTTGGACTAAAATATCCCTACTCTCTATTTTAAGCAGTTTTTAAATGATTTTACCAAAAAAATATGTAGATATACAAGATTATAGATGATTTGTAAAAAAAATTGATGATTTAGTTGAAAAAAAATTGATTTTTTGATGGATAAAATTTCGTCTAAAATTATTAGAATACGTTTTCTAGTGTTCTACGAATATCAGAGTTTATATTCTAAACTGTTGTACATGTTCTACGAAAATCAGAGTTTGTATTCTAAACTTTTGTACATGTTCTACGATTTTTTAGATTAGATATCTGTTCTAACAGATTCAGAAGACAGGAATACAATTTCCAAAAATCCGTAGAACATGTATTCTACGCATTTCTTCATGTTCTAAATTTAGTCAGAAAATCCATTCTACGATTTACTACATGTTCTAAAAAGGTTAGAAAATGTATTATTATTTTAGAATTCATTTTCTAAAATAATATAGATTTCAATTTCTGAAATTTTTAGAATTTCTAAATATAGAAAGTCAATCTTTCAAAAAGGAAACTGAATATTTATTAAATATTATGTTTTTATTGTTTAGATTACGATTTGAGGATGTTTAGAATATGTATTCTAATTTTTTTAGATGAAATAAAATAAAATTAAATTCGTAAAACCATAGGTAAAACGTTTTACGATTTTTTGGTTTAATCTTAATTTTTTTGTTTTCGAGAGCTTCCACTCTTGGTCGTTGGTAAAATTGCTACGAAAATATTGAGAAATTGGTCAACTAAAAAATCAATCACTATGTTAATGATGGCCAAAAAGAATCTATAAATCTTTTAAAAAATGTGAAGGAAACTGAGATTTGTCAGTGATATGTAAGCTTTAGTCCACATAAAAGTTTAAGTTTTGGTAAAAAATAGTGCTTATAAAATGAACTTTCTTGAAGAGAGGCCTACTGAAGAAAAATATATGATAAAGTTAATAATCCTAAAGAGCAAATTCTTGATGCTTATAAAACATAAAAACCATTAAAACCGCTCATGTGTAGTAACTTCTAATTGTACTTAGTTATCTCGTACCATCAAAAAATTTGTTATACTTTATGTCACCAATCGGAGTTTCTAATTACATATACGCAGTGTTCTAAAAAGCGGTCTAGGCGGTCGCCTAGGCCCCGACTAGGCGCTAGGCTCTCATGCGACGCCTAGATGACCGTCTTGACCGCCTAAAATTACATAGAACTTGTTTAATGTATTTTTTTAATTTCTAATTAAATTTTATTTATATATATAGTTATAAATATGGGAGATTCACACAAATAGCCCCAAAAAAGTTGTTTTTTCCAAAAATAGCACCTCATTTGAAAAGTTCCACAAATAGCACCATAAACTTCAATTAAACTTAATGAAAATATAAGATAGAAAATAAAAAAGAGAGCAAACACTAATCTAATATTAAATTGAATCAAAATTATTTTTAAATAGTGGAAATATATACCCTAATTTGGAAATAGGGAACCCAAATATAATACCACAAACTAATATTAAAATAAAAATCTCTTTTAAATGGTAAAAATATATACCCTAAATTGGAAATAGGGAACCCAAATATAATACCATAAACTAATATTAAAATGAATAAAAATCTCTTTTAAATGGTGGAAATATATACCCTAAATTGGAAATAAAGAACCTAAATATAATATTTTAAATTTATTTCTAATTTATTTTGTTGAATAGCTTTTATATAAAAGTTGTGGTATTATTGGAAAAAAAAAGCTAGTGATAAAATTTTTAGAACAAAAATACTAATAGTAAGTTAACTAGTGCTATTTTTGGAAGTTTATGGAGTGTGTGCTATTATTGTCAATAAAACTTGATTTAGGGCCATTTTTAGGAATTTCTCTATAAGTATTCATATATTGTTTAATATAAATATAAATAAATGATTTATCTAATTTTTGTTTATGATTTCATATTTTTAGTTTTTTTTTTCTAGATATTTTATATAACTTTTATATATAATATCATACTTATAATATTTTATGTTATAAACGTCTAAACCGCCTAAAAATCGTCTAGGCCCCGATTAGGCGTTCTAGGCGCTAGGCTCTAAGTCACCGCCCGCTTAGCGCCTAGCGCTTTCTTGAACACTGCATATACGTAAAAGTCTTATGCTTAATTTTGAAAAATGTAAAAATCTAGGGACCAAGCTTTTTCTGGATATCCAAGTAGCCACACAGTTCTCCACAGTCAGTCAACGGAGATTCCTTCAAAGGCACATGAGCAAGGTGATGCGTTGATCCACCACTTTCAGGCATCAGCTTCCACATGAATTGTAGACCCACCAGTGCGGAGAATTAGTTTTCTGCATATAGATTTCAGAAAAATCAAAATCACAACACAAACTAAAGAAAAACAGTGCATTATATCAAAACATTGGACTATAAGCAAAATCCAATTATAAAGCACTAACCTTCATTATCAAAAGCGCGGACTCTAAGCATTCAAAGTCCATCAAGATCAAGCTTGATAGAATTATGAAAAATCTGAATCCTTGAGAAGTTGTCGATGAACACCTTGCAGCGAATCACCATCCCGGTCTGTATATCAGTGGCATAAACTGCAGTCTCTTTTCTACCACTATACGGAGAAATCGATCTGAGACGCGCGCCCTTAGATACAAAGATCTGTTGAAATCTACATGCAATTTCAACCGGAGGAGGAATCGGGAGGAGGAGTACCGGAAATCACTTCGACGGCTCAGAGACAATCAACCGGAGGAGGGAACCGGAGGAGTGCGGCGAGCCGGCGACAAAGAATTTCGTTTTTACTCTTTCACGATTTTGGTTAATGAGGGGAAAATAAAAAGAGTTTTTATGCCGTAGAAGTCTCCAATTCAAGTAGAGAGTTTCAAAAACCACAAAATTATCTGAATTTTGTAAATTAATTAGGAAATAATTTTTTTTTATTTTGTTAGTTACATTTTAAAAAATATGGGGGTAATTTTGGGTATTGATTTTTAAAAAACCTATTTCACCAAACTTTTTCTAGAAAGGTATATATAGACATTTATCCATTAAAACATCTTTTATTTCTAATTTTCCCTAAAAATAAAAACCATCTCAATACTTAATATGAATATAATAAACATGGAAATATCAATAAAATCTATAAATGTAATTTAAAATAATATTATATTAAATGAACGTAGTTTTTTCTGAATCATTTAATTATACATCGGATGATCCAAAAAACTATTTGAAATAGCGAATAAGAATGAAAATTATCTTAATACTTAATACAAATATACTAAATGCAAGTACAAAATTTATAATTGTTGTTTTAAAATAGCATTATATTAGTTGGACATATCTCCTCATTCCGAGAGCCAGATTAATGACAAAATATGTAAAAGACATGGGTCGAGCAAAGATAAATGTTTAGAATACTAGCATTAAAGTAAGTGGCTTGATCCAAAATTTGTTTAGGACACCACCACCTTCGACTTCGACTCTTCGCAATGTTGCATTTTGTTATTATTTCATGCTGTAAAACAAAACTAAACTGTGAATCAAATTAAATTATACCAACATTCTCTGACTTGGCGGTGTCTAATAACCAATCCAATCCGGTTCAAGAAACTTGGACCCAACGCGATCATAATAAGAAACGGTCCACTGCCATCTCCGCAGTGTATTCCACATTTCCACTAGCAGTTTTTTTTTTTTTTTTTTTTTGTTAAAGGGTTTTCCACTAGCAGTTTCACATTATTCATGACACATTTAATCACAATAATTAATTATTAACTTTTGAGGCCAAAATTAAGATGTATTATCCTTACTAGTAATAAACGTGAAAGTTTTATCACACACGACATAAATTTTACATCTATACTATTAATTGGGAAGCACTCAAACATAACTAACCTTATAAAGTGTAAAGTATTACAAAAATGCCATTAGTTTTTGTTTTTAAATAAATTCATTAAAGATACAATAGTAATCACAAAATAATATATTTAAATAAAAAATAACAAAATTCTTTAAAGTAATTAATTATTAGTTTCCAAAAAATTAAACTCACTTTCTCTCTCTTATTAATTATGGACGAAAATTTATTTTTTTTTCTAAAAAGTTGTTAACCAATCCTAATAAACTATTCTATATCAAAAATAAAAATAAAAATAATACCATTTTAATTCAAAATTAAAAACACTGTCTTTTAAAAAAATTTATCAATGGAAGATTTTAAGATTGAATTTGAATTTTGTAAGAAAATTAAATACAAATATTTAAGACTCAGTTGTTATAATAATTTCACAAATTTTGAAATATAAAACAAAATTTTATTTCACAATTTCTAAAAAAACGATATTAGATATTAACAAATATTTATATTTACTATGAAATAAACTCAAATAATGATAAATTTAAAGTAATTATCATTATGACATTTGTTTAGAGCAAGTTTCAGAAATATCTAAATAATAAATTGTACATATTAATTTCAAAATATTTTGTGTTTTCTTTTTTTTCTTCTCAACCGGATCTTCCTTAAACAAATCCATAACATATTGCACACAGTTTTCGAAATAATGTGAACTAATTCTATATTTTGCATTCAAAACAAATTATGCATCAATAGCTTATCTCTTTTATAGATGTATCTCAAATTTTAATTTTAGTCCAAAAATCGAATTAATTATGATTAAACAATGAAAAAAAATATATGCAAAATTTAGGTAGAAACATTAATAAATTTGTTAAAATATATTTGTAACTTTAACATCATACATATTAATCCGCAAAACTCACCGTATATATTGTAATATTGTATGGTATTTAAAGGTAAGCAAACAAGAATTTGGAACATAAATTTAATGGAATAAAATGGAAATATAAATTAGGAGACGAGATCGGAGGGGAACATATATTAAAAATCAAACTAAATACCCAAATGGTATGATTTCGGGTTATGAGCACTATATAAAATAAATTTGTTTACACACATAACCCCGTACATACGTTTTCAGTTACACATACTCTATTTATGACAGATATGGGACCTTAATATTTTTATTTTACGTATACGTGACGAATTATGGGACAAAGAATTTATGATATATACCGGACGGGATATGTTTTCTGCTCCAAAATAGTTACGCCTAGCTAATATACATGAAATAACCCAAACTAAAACCGAATTCATATCCTATTTAACATATGTAATCAAACTGTTAGAACTGTTTTGATTAGTTAAGAAAATAAAAATGTAACACCATTAAACTTTTGTAACTAAATTAGTCTGGATCTTAAAATATAATTATGCATTAACGCAACTGAATTTTGTTCATTACTCTAACTTTATAATATTTATATTATTACGAAGTTCACTAACACAACAAAATATTTTATATTTTTAAAATTTATATATAACAATTTCTATAAAAATATTTTTATACGTACGTGGATGCAGATCTAATACACTAAAATATATATCATAAAAACAACAAAATAATCTATATTGAATTAAATTTTATTAGAAATTTTTTAAAATATGAAACCCCGCACGTAAGTGCGGGTCAATGATCTAGTTAGAGTTAAAACACAGACACACCTATCAAGTCATACCAATTATAGTACGAATATAAAAAAGTCTTTTCCACATAATCTTCCTTTTTTCATAGTATCTAAATTTCATTGCCAATATATACCCAAACATTCTCCGAATATATCATCAGAAAACAAGAAAAAGAAAAAACATTTGTCTCCGAAACATATATACATCAATATATACATACATCAGCATACCCTATACCCTAGGTTTGCTATTATAGATGAACTACAAAATTATATGTTATTTTGCCACATATCGACCATGTAAGGTATTATTAGACGACTCTATGCCCAAACTTTAAAAAAAAAATATTCTGTATTATGAAAACATTTGACTTATGTACAAAAATTATTGTTCTTCCATTACTTTGTAATGACTAGTTTTGACGAATTTTTCATATTAAACATGTGTGTCTAATGAAAAAATTTTACTAATATTTTTATATTAAACCACATTTGTCATTAGCAATAGAACACACATAAATGTATGGGAAAATTAGCCTCAGTACCACTTTTTTCAAAAAGTTTAGGCCCAGTACCACTTTCTGAGTCCACTTAGCATCCATACCACATTCGTCATCTGGAAAGACGAAACTACCCTTCTGGCTGCGTCAGGAATGTGTCAGGGGAAGGAGCTACAGTCTGCCGTCCTTTTTCTCTCTCCTGGCGCATTGGTAACCGTTTTCGTCCCTCTGGTTGGTAAAACAAAGTTGTCCCCGAATAAATCCAGATCTTCGTAGTCTCCGAATTTTCTGCCGTCCACAGTCTCTCTCCTAACGCATTGGTAACCGTTTTCGTCCCTCTGGTAAAACAAAGTTGTCTCCGAGTAAATCCAGATCTTCGTCTTCGGCTCTTTGGCGGAATAAAATAAAGATCAAGTTGTCTCCAAGTAAATTCAGATCTCTGGCTGGTACAACCACATCATCTGGCGATGGACAATCAAGAGAAGTTGTCCCCGAGTAAATCCAGATCTCTGGCTGGTAAAACCACATCATCTGGCGATGGACAATCAAGAGATCTGGACTTATTCTTGGGGGACATCATTCACTCTATTTCATAATTATTGTCCATGGTAAATGTAAACTGCATTTAATGCAATGTTTTGTCCTTTTTCTCTGACACAAAGTTGTCTTTCAGACAAAGTTGTCCTTCTCTGACACAAAGTTGTCCCCGTTTCCCTACCGGCGTCTACTGTAGCTCCTTCCCCTGACACATACCTGACGCACAGAGAAGGGCAAAATCGTCCAAGAGTTGCCACACAAACACCAAATGTGGTATGGATGCTAAATCCATTTCAAATGTGGTACATTTGCTAGGATTTTCCCAAAATGTGGTACATTTGGCAAAATTCCCTAAATGTATCTAATAAACTAAAATTAAAAATTGTGAAAAAACATAATAGTTCTTCCAATATATACATTTTCTTTGGATTCAATTTCAAACAGAAAATTTTCACAATTTTGTTTTTAAAAAATAACTTCAGACCCTATAATATGGTATGGACTTGCTACTATATATGTGTCTAATTAACTAAACTACTATAAAAAGGAAAAAAATATTTGAGAAATAACTAAACAGCCATGTCAGAGGATGATCTTCCTTACCAAGTGAAAATCAACGGTCAAGGAGATCTTGAGACAATCGGACGGTTTGGATTTGATGATCAGATTGACTGTTCAGTGATAGCTCATTCTAAGGTGGACGCTACCACAGGAGATCTCCACACTCTGAGCTACAACGTTTTGAGGAAACCTCATCTCAGGTATCTTAAATTCGACACGTGCGGGAAAAAGACACGTGACGTGGACATCACGCTCCCGGAACCAACGATGATTCATGATTTTGCGATAACCGAAAATTTTGTCGTCATACCGGATCAGCAAATGGTATTCAAATTAACCGAAATGATCCGGGGCGGGTCGCCGGTTATCTATGATAAAGAGAAAATGTCGAGATTCGAGGTTTTGTCAAAGCAAATCAGACCGGTTCGGGTATAAATTGGGTTGATGTACCGGATTGTTTCTGTTTTCATCTATGGAATGCGTGGGAAGAGAGAACCGAAGATGGAGATCCGGTTATTGTCATAATCGGGTCGTGTATGAGCCCACCCGATACAATATTCAGTGAATCTGGAGAACCGACCCGGATTGAATTAAGCGAGATCCGGTTAAACATGCGTACGAAAGAATCGAACCGGAAGGTTATTGTAACCGGGATTAATTTAGAAGCGGGTCACATAAACAAGAGTTTTGTGGGCCGGAAAAACCGGTTCGTTTACTTAGCAATAGCCGATCCTTGGCCCATGCAGTGGCATTGCAAAGGTGGATATAGAAAACGGCACCATTTCAAAGTTTGATACCGGACCCGGACGGTTGGATGGCGAACCGTATTTCGTACCGGAAGGAGAAGGAGAAGAAGACAAAGGGTATGTAATGGGGTTTGTGAGAGATGAAGAGAAAGATTAGTCGGAGTTCGTGGTCGTGGACGCGACTGATATGAAGCAAGTCGCGGCCGTGCGGTTGCCGGAGAGAGTACCGTAAAGTTTTCATGGAACGTTCGTCAGTGAGAATCTGTTGAAGGAACAAGTTTTTTAACTTAGGAGTGTATGTATATTCATAATTATGCTATCTGCTCTTTTTAGGTTTAAATTTTTAAGTGTTGATATTTTTTTTTTTTTTTTTTTTTAAGTGTTGATATTTTTGATTATAAGAAAGGAGTTACATCTTCTTTATCCTCATTATTATTTATGGTATGATTCTCTAGTGTATAAAAAAATCTCTTACCGTATTAGGTTTATCGTAACGTGAAAAAAGCTTGAAGCATAGGTATACTATCACTATCATGATCATTTCAAAAATTTTAACACTTTTTTATATTACATCCAAAAAATTATACGACTATGTAACAAGTTTGGAATTCTTGGTTAATTGTCAATTAGAAGCAACCCAAAAATCAATGTCCCACCACGTGATCCAAAAGCAAAAGCATTAATGTTTTATATTCAACTCGTTTGATTGTAAATTTGTAACTATTAGCATTACGTTTGAAGTGGTCCATTTTTCCATCTAAAGTTTAACTATTTATGTAGAATGAGCATATAAATTATATAATGTGCAGCCAATACAAATTGTCACGAGAGAATCATCACTTACTAAGTGACTATAAAATCCATAAACCATGGGCCATATATTAGTTTTGTTTGAAGTGACATTTTAGTACAGTAGTTTATCAATGAAAGATTCTTCAGTCATCCGCACAAATTTCAATAATAATATGTCCATAATTGGATCATTGGAATCTAAGATAATTAATCATTGTAAGACAAATAATTGTTATTTTGGAGGAGCTATAAAGTTTTCCTCCAATAGGTCTTTAGGTGTTGATAGAAGTGATCGATATAACAAATCAATTTCGTTTTTAATATTAATTATTATGACAAGACAAATGTTTTTGGATAAAGGATAAGACAAATGTTTTTTTTTTTTTTATAACCAATAAGACAAATGTTATAAGCATCTATATTGTTAAGAAAAAATAAAATGATATGTATGAAACAAAATGATGTTTGCTTTGATTTTCATGCTACTTGATCTCCTGATCTTCTTCACATGAATTTTTAGTTAGGTACTTAGGTTACTTGGATATAGGTTTTATTAGGCTGAATTCGGGAATTTAATAATTAGCACATTTACATTGAGAAGATGTCTATTTGTTTTCAGTTTTTGCCTCTCTTTCAGTCACCGTCCTTACTTCTACTTGCTCATGCCCAACAAAAATTTAATTTACAATATCGAAAACAATATCCCAAAATTTATACCTACAACTTTCAGAAGTAATGCAATAGTTTACAAATATTAAATTTACCATATATATATATATATCGTTTTACTAACATGAAATTTAAATAATTATGTATAACACATTACATATTGTCGTATTTTATGAGACTTTAGTGGTATTAAAATCCAAACTATCAGCAACAATTCATAAATGTTACATGGCGGCCGGTATATGGATTTTACATATACGAGAACACAAAAATTGAAAGAAAAACAACGTTTTATGAAATACTAAATTAGAACTAGATCAGGATTGATTCCATTTTTCGATGAGAGAAATGTCAATTTTAGAGAAAGAATATAAATTGAATTCTTACACCGAGTAAAGCGAATGAAAATAAGGTAGACACATAAAACGACAAAAACCTGAATTTAGACGGATATCATAGTTAACATAAGTCTTATACCTTACATCATGTTTTTAGCTAACTTGTTTAGTAGTTTTTTTTGTCGCAAGATTTTTATTTTTTATTTACATTTTTAGGAACATAAGGTGGACACAACACATTGGACTTAGCCTAGCCCTGGGATTTCGGTTTTTTTTCGGTTTTTCGGTTCGGTTTTTTCGGCTTTTCGGTTTTTTTTGAATTTTGAAAATGTTACCAAAAAAAACCGAAAAAAATTTCGGTTCGGTTATTTCGGTTTTTTAATCTTAAAAACCAAAATTAACCGAAATATTTGTTTTTTTTAAAAAAAAAGATGATTTTTTCGGTTTTTTTTCGGTTAATATTGGGTAATTTCGGTTTTTTTTCGGTTAATTTTGGATAATTTCGGTTATTTCGGTTATTTCGGTTATGAACAAAACTGGTTTAATTTTATGTAAACCGGTCTAATTGTAGTATATTTGGAAAAAATTGAAAAAAAAAAAAATTCGGTTAACCGAAACCGAACCGAAATAACCGAAATTTTTCGGTTAACCGAATTAAATTTAAAATCAAACCGATCGGTTTATGACCTAAAACCGAAACCGAACCGAACCACCAAAATTTCGGTTCGGTTAATTCGGTTCGGTTTTTAATCCCAGCTCTAACTTAGCCCATAGAAAATGCTTACAAAAATTTAGATTACTTGAATAAAATACTAAAAATAAAAAGACTCAAACCTGCTAAACAGGAACCAAACTCAACTTGCATATGAGAAAAAATTTCGATGCGAGAAATGTCATTTTGACAAAAAGTACATAAACTGAATTATTTCACCGAGTAAAGCATATGAAAATAAGATAAACGTAGAATTCGCCAAAAACCCTAAATTCATATGGATGTCATAGTTTTAAAAATTTAGATTATAATACAGAAAATAAAAAGACTCAGGCTTCGAATGGTAACCATGCAAACCAAACCGCAATAGTAACAAAAATTTCTACATATACATATGTATATATTTTTGATACTATTAGAGCATAGGCAGTGGTATAAATTAGAAGATGCAAATTAAATTAGTAAAATAATGTTAGAAATTTAATGAAGAGAGAGAAAAAGACTCGAGAAATTTTTTTTTTTCTTGCTTTCTCACAACTGGCCAATCACAGCCTGCCATGTAATCTCACATCCAAGCCAAACAAGTTGTTAGCTCACATCCGGATGCTGTCTCTAAGCCAACTATTTGAATATTTTTATTTTTTTTAATCCTCACACCCGCATAGAAAATACTCCATTGCTGATGGTCTTAGAATCGCAATGCACTTCTCCTGCTATTATTCTGCACGTTCCCATTTGGAGCCTCAAACCCGCTAAAGGGGAACCAGGCTCAACTTACAGATGAGATAATTTTTCGATGAGAGAAATGTCATTTTTATATAACTACATAAACTAAATTCCTTCACCGAGTAAAACATACTCCCTCCGTTTCAATTTAGTTGTCGTTTTAGGATTAAAATTTTGTTTCATAATAGTTGTCGTTTTAGGTTTTCAATGCAAATGTTTGGTGAAAATTCATGTTTTGTCATTAATGTTTTAATGTTTTGACCAATAAAAAAATTATAAAATATATTAATAAAAGATAAAACAAAAAATTTAATGATTTTCTTAATTTGTGTGCGAAAACCTTAAACGACAACTAAAACGAAACGGAGGGAGTATGAAACTAAGGTAGAAACAAAAAGCGCCAAAATCCCAAAATTCATACGGATGTCATAGTTTTTTCCTGTAATTTTAAAGTTTTAAAAAAGAATTAGTTAACATAAGTCTTGTGCACAAGAAAACAACAAGTTAATAAAAGAAAACTTTAGCAAGAAGAATAAATCAATCATTTAAAGAAGAGTAAATGTTTTACTTGTACCTTACATCATGTTTTAGTTATGTTTTCAAAATTGTTTAGTGGTTTTTTATCCTAGCCGAGATCTAACGAGTCCCTACTCGAAAATGACTGAGCGACCGAAGATTCAACGCCACGAGACGCTCTCCGAGCTTAACCCTTGTTGAGCGACCAATGGAGATAACTTTGTTAGACAAATTCACCAGCCTATTTACATCTAAAAACAAACGCGGACGAAACTTCTTATCACACCATTACGACGTTTCGACGTCATCAAAGATGAAGGGATCTTGCCTCACCAGGCCAGAAACTTCGATGGAACACTTCTCAGAGGAAAAATTTGCCATCCTCGGAGCAACTTCATCACCTCAGGGGAGATGATCATCCCGAGTTTAATCGCATCAAAAAGCTCCACAACCTCCGCCAGCCGTTCAATGACGTATGTCTTTAGAAAACCCGATCGATTAAAACCTCTTTTATTTGTTTCATCTCTTTTTTATATACTTTTATTACCATTTTTGCAGGTATAACATTTTTTAATATATGTTGTTGGGTTGGACAAAAACACACTAAAATGGGCCTTAATGGGCCTGACGAAAATGACATAAAAAAGAAGAACAAGTGACATTGGCCCATCACATTGAGTTATATATATCTCCCCTCTACGTGGGATGAAAAAGTGGTGGTAGGTGAGACAAGACATCAAAGAGTGTTCTAGAGAAAAAGAGAGAGAACAAGAGCTTCTCAAGCAAGCTTTCTTCTTCATCTTTGTTGTCTTTGATTCCTTGTATCTTCTTGTTGTAAACCTGAAAAATTAAGACATCACAAGTTAGTGGTGTGTGTAACCTCTTTGAGATAGTGAAGCTTGGAAGCAAGAGTCCTTCCCCGAGACGTAGCGGTTAGCCGTGAACTCGATTATCAAATTCTTGTGTTTGTTTCTTTTACAAACAACTTTATTCTCAGTTTTCTCTACAATATAATTAGCAATAATGTTTTCGGGATGGGATTACCCATTGTAGCATCACAACTTCGTACTAAGAAAAAGAACCTAAAACCTAGTACAATTGCACCTTGC